CAGTATAGTTTAGCAGTTAAAAAAGATTGTTTCAGGTTAGTTAAAGGTACAGTGTGGAAGATATAGCCATATACTTTTTATATATTAAAAAGTGAACTAACTTTTCAACAGAATGTGAAGTAACCGTTCTGACATCATGTTAAAGACGACTATGTGTTGTTTTGCAGACATCTCCTACCGAAATTAGCATGCTAACCTTTTAGCCTGACATGTCCAGTATAGTAATACCACTTGTGATGACAGACAATAGTGACTCACTGTGGTGTCCAGTGCCTTCTGTCCAACATGAGAGGACAAAGAATTAGAGCTGTCCCAAAGGCAGTTGAGCACCGTGGAGAGCTGAAGAATTGTCATCGACTACTCCATTGTGTCTCGCATTGTGAATTTTCAGAATGAATAGAATAATAAAACACGAGGTGCAAATGCCTTTAGTGTCACAGAAACATAAAAGAAAAAAGAAGCAAAACAAGAGTTGATGTGTTGTCACGAGTAAAGAGATGCGTTTGATGAGCTTGATGCTTAACTTGCAACTTTTCTTTTAGACTAGTAAATAACATCTAACGTTGGCTGATTAGAAAGATGTTTCTTTAGTGCAACTGCGATTTGTAAATCATGCAATTATTGTAACCCAGGGATTACAGATTGTGCCTTTAAAATCACTTAAAATTGTTAAAACAGCCGGTTGGCCCCTCTGAGTGTTGCCAACTCATTTAACAATGAAAGTAGCCAGCAGTAGCTCCAAAAGTCTAAGAAAGTCGCGTGAGGACATCACACGCTCATTAGCATGTTGATGACGTGATCATAAAGTTTAGTGCAGTAAGGGAGGGATTATCTTAGTTTAAGCCATATAAAAGGTACATAGAGAAATCTTTGGCCAAATATCTTCAAACAGACTGCTCTCATCTGTCTGTCTGTCTATAGTCACAAGCAAGTATACAATATTATTTAAGCCTTAAGTGCCGAAAAAACTGTGGTTTTGTATAGCCTATGTACTTCATTTACGTAAATCCTAGCTGGTCAAATATAAAGTCTGTGTGCATGTGTGTCTTTAGTTCTGTCATTCAGCATCACACCCCTTTCAAGCAGGCTGTCATATCATTTCAGCAGTTTGCTCTTTGCTTGATGTAGTGTGTCACATTGAAACGGACAGCTTCCACTCCACTCTATCCAGTCTGTCTGTGTGCTGTTTCTTATCATTACACTCAACAACACAGACAGAAGCGGACGGAAAATCACGTCATCAACCAGCCTGTCTTTCACTCTGTCTACAAATCTCCTGCTTTGCCTATTCATCGCAAGGGCATTAATTCAGGGAAAGGTTCCGGCAAAGCAGAGCAGCAAAGGTTAAAAGTTGGAAAGGATTTGAAACATTCAAACGTTCTGTTTTTACATTACTTTTAGGCTGAAGAGCACTAACAATACACAACTTCTGGCTTTTAAAAGAGTTTAACAGAAGCTAACATAAAATGTCCCTCTCATCTGCCACAACAATTAAAAATAGAGATTTACACCCACACACACACACACACACACACACACACACACACACACACACACACACACACACGCGTAACAGGTAACAGGTAACAGGTAACAGGTGTGAGACTGAGGCAGGACATTGTAGTGCACATTCTCAGGTTGCACTTGAATATTTAACCACCCGAGCTAACACCTCTGACACACCAACATGCAGGTGATAGTGTTACATTCGCACCTTTTGCCATTTCCTTGTACAGCACCAAAGTATTGCATCCACCAAAGGCCTATGTGTGTCTGCGTCAGGTCAGGCTAACCAAAGTGAAATAAAGTTCAAATCACTTATATCATGTATATTAAAAATATCAAGTGTTTTGTATAAGCTGCCGAAATATATCAAGGTGCTCCTTTTCTTTTGATCTCCTTTGGCTATACTTATACCACTATCACTGTCTCCTGCAAGCCCACAAAAAATGTAAACCCCTGCAAAAGTTAAAAAGATTTTCTAGAGAGCTAGCATTTAAAGAAACAGAGGGTTTTGGCAAATAACACCACTGATGCTGGTGTTTACTTTGGTGTCGAATGTTCTCTCTTCCCATCTGGCCATTGGGTGATTCAGTGTATATTCCATCTGCACTTCGCTATAGTGATGACTGATAACATGTGCCAATGTGTGTGTGTGGTAATATTGATGAGTGGGGAGCCTGCGACTGGTGGTCCAGACTGGAGGTTTGGCGATAGGCCAGTTGACGATGATCAGTGCAGTGCGGTTACAGCCCCGTGTTAATCTCCTCTGCCTCTGCTTTGTGTTGCAGCCAGTCCAATGACAGCACTGTTTCTTAAACTACGGCTCAGTGCACTGAACGGGTTGCAGGCCTGTTTCATGTATGAATAAAAAAAAATAGTGTTTTTTTTAGACTTTGTACTGGGTGTTTTAATATAGCAAGACATGCCAAAACCCCAGACATCTCTCCTCCTTTTGTATTTTCAGTCATGACCTTGAGGCTTTTATGGTTTTTGAGAATTTCTCATTAAGAGACCACTGCAATCAATTGTGTATAAAAGAAGATAACAGATCTTGGAGCTTCTTTTGATCTTAAAAACAGGGTGAAAGAGCATCAGTATTGTGTTGTCGTTGTATGTCTTGAATTGGTAGCTGTATTGTGATGACTCTCCTTTTCTGCTTCTGTGGTTGTCTCTACAATTGACTCGTCATAAAGCCAGAGTCACACTGACAGATTCCAGAGCAGTGGCACAAAGAGCTTCTTGTGGTTTGACAGATCTCTCATGAAGACTCACGACGTGCCTGATAGAACCGTGATTACATTTCGGTTATCATTTGTATCTTTTCTCACGCCAACTGCTACAATAGTGGCAGACAAGGCTCTGCCCACAGTGGCTTCATCTTGTAAACAAGCTGGTCACTGATTTGAACTGAATGATGAGAAATTGAGCAGCCATGGGGAATTTCTTATAATGTAAATCTTGAAACCATCATGAACCCCACCAGATGTTTGGAAATTGTTTTTAAAGGGTCAATTCACCCAAAAAACAAAACAGATTTGACAGATTTTATACATTTCAAAATGATTTTATGTCTGCCTCAGAGATTTCTGGATCAGAAACAGTGCACTACATTATACTACTCTCAACAGAAGTAGCCCCAATAAAAGCTTCACAATGAGATGTGCAGATTTTCCAGAGCAACCAGTTAATTTACTCTTTTTTGGTAAAAGTTTGCGCTGTTTCATAATTCTTCAGTACGGTGTGCGGTGAGATTCTATTCACCTCCATTGTTTGGAGATGGAATCTCATATCTGAAAACCTTTATGGATAAAAAAAAATGTATCGGCATGCCTGGACACCACCACACATAAGAGAGAAAATATATTATTTTCTTATTTAGGTGAAGCAGCCCTTTGAAGTTCGACATGTCAACACATACAGTTCTTCGAGTATTTAGCACCTGTTTGGAACACTATCCCTTAACCGCTAAACACTTGTTGTATTACACTGAAACATGATCCTTCATTACAAGCTCTTCTCACATCATGAACAAAAGAGCAGAAGACTCATCTGACTAATGACACTATCCTCGGACTGCCAGTTGGCTCTAATGGTTTCCTCTGTTGTCCACAGCTAAAGCTAAAGAACTTTTATGTTTATTTTCCACCGTGGGGCCAGTAACTGTTTGGCTCTGTCGTGGTTAACTCAGGTTAAAATATGTTTAATTGGTCCCATTAGATTACAGTTTACATTTGGCCAAGCCACACTGTGGGTGTTAAAAATGTTTATGCATTAAGTTTTTGACTCTAGTTCTTCAGTAAAACTGCATCATGTGTGGTTTGGAAACAAAAATAATGAGTAGAAGAAATGGAAGTAATGGTTGTGGAAAGTGTTGACTGACTATGTATACTAAGTTGACCAAAAAGTGAGGAAGCTCAAAATAAAATTCATCTTGGCGCACATATCAGTTTAAGATCCCTTTTGTTTTATAACAATATTGATATTGTGTTGCTGGTTTTGCACCAGTTGTTGGCTGCAGATCTTTATAATGTTACCATGGTGATATGTTCAACATCCAAGGGATCAAAATTCCAGACAAAGGGATGCAAATATCTACATGATTTCAAGTTTCTTAGAAATGTCAGCAGAGCAGAACTGTAGAGCTAAACACGTCTAACCCCAGCTGTCAAACTGCATTAATCACTGGCTCTGAGCATGGCTGGTGTATCCGCTCTGGTGGCAAAATGTCTCAGAGAATCACATTGTTGTTTATAGAGATAATGAGTTGCATGAAAAAATAAGAGAGACTTGGCTAGGGCAGTTTTGCCCTGTAGTTGTCGAACCAGGCTGCACTGACTCACAGCTCAGGAGACAAGCAGAGGAAGGGCTGTGAAATGTGAGAGAGCAGGGGATGGATCAGATATCGACCACACACATTAGTTAACCAAGACACATCTTCTCTTCTCATGTTCTCCAACTCCTACATCATTGTCTTCACTGGATATTTGCCACCTTTTAATCATGCTGTTTTTTCATTGTCCTCCCTCTCTCTTCCGACATACAGTGTACTTTATCTCTTAACCCCATTGCTCAGTTCTTCCCTGCTCTTTTCTTTATGTTGTAAGGTTTTAATACTCACCTTTCATCCATCTATCTTCCATCGCTCCCTGCATGTTACGCCTTCCTTTTATTCTTATATATACTATAGGTACTCCATGGCTACTCCATTCTCTTCTGTGTCTAATGCCTGTTTGTGCCATTTGATAACATCAGATTCTATTCATCTTTTAAATATTACAATGGACTCAACAGAGAAGGCTATCCCTAAGGTCCTCTTGCACACAAAATGACGAAATTTGTTCTACCGTTCAGGTTCAAGGTTCAGTCTTCCCCTCAACTTGCTTTTGATCCTTATGTAATAACTGTATGAATCGTATTGATTGCTGTTGCCAAACTCATCCACAGTGGAATGAAACACCAAATCCTGTGTGATAGTAATTAAATACAGAATACACTACTGTGTAGAATCCATTTATTAACAATTGAATGAGGCAATTTAAAAGTGAATAACGTATAAAAATAAAGCTGTAGTTACGTTTTTTCAGGAAATCTTTCAAATCTTTCACTAACAGCAATTCATCTGAGAGGAGGCTATGAAATTAGCAGTGAATAATCGTTTTGTTATAGCTTTTCTCACCTCATTAATAAAAAAACAAACAAACAGGAAACAAGGCAGTGAAATGACATTTGAATTGTAGAACATTGTAAACTGAGGAAAGGTGCCCTGTGGAGTTTTTGAACACTAGCATTGATATAAAGCATTGTTTTTAAGAGTGGTCCTCATTTTGTTTGTATCGTGCATGCATATAGGTGACGCAATTTACGTTCCTGCCATCAGATTCTGATTTTCCGCAATTGATGGCGCAAACAAGCAAAGAGTGGTAATTTTACAACAATGAAGGCAAAGAAGAAAACTGCAAGCTAGAGAACATAGATGTAAACAATGCACAACTTAAATTTGGCTTTGCAAATGTTTTATGAGGAACAAAATGTATTCAACCCGTTTGTTAGACCTCAAGAGTACACACAATGTGTTTCGTAATAAAGACTGAATGCAACTTTGTTTGTTTACAAGAAAACTCCAAAGAACACCCACATACTAAGGAAGAATTTCCGTTGAAGTTATCCTATGGAGTTTTTGACCACTAGTAGCGTTACGGATTTTAAATAATTTTTTTTTTTTGAGGACAGAAATGCATTTACCATAGTTGTTAGGCATCAATGATACACACAGTGCGTTTGAGTGAGAAACACTGAATGTAACTTTGTTTACAAGAAAATTCCACAGGGCACCTTTAAGATAAGATCCTGATGTGTAAAAGATCATTTTGCAATGTCATACATGTCAACCTTTCATATGGAAATAAATCATAAAAATGATTTGATTTACCTTTGACCTTTGGCACACTCTGAGATATCACATTACAGTAATAAATAACATTTATTAATTTTATAAAAACAAAATAAATATCAATAATTTAATAATTTCAAGATTTCATAAATAAAATTCATATGTGTATACCATTTTCCATGTAACATATGTGCTATACAGTAGACAGAATGAGTCAGCTGATTCCTCCGTTGTGTCTTATTGATTTCAGTCCTTTAGGTTGAGTATCCATGGAAACATTTAAAATCACACATTAGCAATGTAAGGCGTAATGTAAATTGTAGATATTGTGATTGAGCCAAGGATGACGATCATTAGGAATCATAGCGATGCCACCTCCTCTCCTTATTTACTCCTTTACTGATGGACTCAAGTCATTCGTGGCCACAAACAACGTAATAGGTTTCCTAACAGTGAGAAAAATCAGAAAACAACTCAGCATCATACTTCTAAATGGGGAGTGAATGTAAAATTACACAAAGCCTGACAAGAGCTCACACTCCCTACACACAACCACATTTCCTGGCGGAGTGTTTCCTCACGGTGTGGTAGATGAGGTTGTCATCCAGAAACGAGAGGTCATCGTCAAACGCAATTGGCCGACAGCAAGCCTGAGGGGGCGTGTCTTTTGGAGGAAGCCTCCTGTTGTGAACGAGGTTGTAAAGGATTTTGTCATAGTTTGTCTCAGACTTCCTGCAGGGTCCAGAGCAGTATCTGAATATCATTTCCTCGCTGGAGCGGTAGCCCAGACCGAGGTCCGACACATTGAGGTGTATCTGTTTGAGCACACAGCCCTGTCCTCGTCCATTCCCTCCTCCTACCCTAGCCTTCCTCCCTGTCTCCCCCCTTCTTGCTCCTCCTCTTCCACCTCTACCACTCTGCTGGCTTGTCCCCTTCTTCTTCTCCCTTCTGTGTCGAGTCCTGCTGCTCAAGTTTTCTTTGGAGGGGGAGGAGGTGGAGGAGGAGGAGGAGGAGGAGGAGGTAGATGAGGACACGGTGGATGAGGAGGAGCGACGTATTCTACTGATGGTCACTTTGATGAAGTCCACCACGTCTTCAAACTCGTTTGGGGGTGGCTGCTCCATTGTGTCTGAAACGCATTAAGAGAAATGGCACTCTTACAAGGACGTATCATACTGGACAGCACATATTGTTTCACTTTAACACATCATATTGGCTAGACAGATGGAGTGTTGTATCGGCAAGTACACATGCAAATGCGGAAATGGTACACACTGGGTATTTTTCTGAAGAGGAATTCCATTTGAACTGATTCATCCAAGTCACAGATGGATCCCATTCTTATTTACGCACCAGACACTTGCATGTTTGAGTGAACTAGTTGCATTACAGCAGCCCCTATGAAAAATTACAACAATTTTAACAATGGAATTGTTAAGTTCTTTTTTCTTTTCTTATTCTAATTCTTAATTAAAATGAGTTTGATTAGGTTTTAGATTTTAGCCAGACAAAACAAGCTATTTGAAGGTGCCACTTTAGGACATTGTGACAAACATTTTTACATTCACAGTATAACATTTTATGAATAAATAATAAATGATTATTTGATCAATCACTGATAGAAATCTTATTTAGTTAGACTAAAAAAATATGTTTTATAAACTGGTGTTGTACATTGTGGTAAAGGTCTGAAAAAAGTAAAAATCCACCAGCTCTGAAAGATGTAGGTCTAATTGGTAAGAAGGTTAGAGGCCAGAATGAGACATCACTGCAAATCCTTCATTAACTGGATCATGCACTCTAAAATATGTCCATTTAAAATAATTGTTTAATATCAAATTCAGTCAAAGCATTGTATTTTCTGGAGTGAAATAGACGTGTCAATTCCACATGTTTTCAATTTTGTTAATTGGTCAAATTTTTGATTTTTTTTTTCTACTTGACACAGATAACAATGTCAATATTTGTTTAAGAAATAAAAATAACTCAAGACTCAGCAAGTCTGCTGAGAACAAATGCCCTCCCAGGATTGGGTTTTGGCACTGTGGGCACTCCATACAAACCACAGGCTCTTACATGTGTCTCCTCCAGCCAGTGTCTCTTCCCAGTCCGCTGTATCCGCTTCAGCGCGGCTGATGCCCGAAGAAGTGACAGACAAGCGGATCTGAACTGGCGGACGCTCCAGGGGACTCTCGGCGGCGCGCCCTCTCCTCGTTGTGGACGTATCCCGGAGCAGCGAGTCGGCGTGCACGGCGCTCAGCAGTATCAAACAAGTGGTCAGGCTATCCCATAACTTCATTGTCCACTTCAGTCCGACAGAAGGACATGGCGCGATGCAAAATCAACAGGTATCATCTGGCTAAAGCGATAATCAGCATATTGTTTAATAGTTGGAGAGGAAAAGGTGGGGCGCACTCATCAGCTCGGGTTCCTGTCACAGAAAATGGTGAGGATTAATGTATTAGTGCCTGCGTACAGTTAACTGCACGCTATCACTTAACTGCCAGCTGGCCCACGCTGTGCAGCGCTGCGCAACATACAAGCAGGCACGAAACCAAAGGAGCGCAAAATACAAAACCAAGACTTCTCTCTGGAGTTGTTTGCAAACCAACGACGCTTGGAAGACGAAATGTACTCCCACTTTGCAGTCCTTCACTTGGATTTTCATTCAGTGCGCACCATGCAGTGACGGTCATTCCCGTTCATATCCCCTCACAATCAATCTGACTGAACCGCGAGGATACAGCGAGGGTTAGCAGCAGAGATGGGGAGTGGTGGTGACGTCTGATGGTCCATCCTCTGCTTCTTCCTGTCTCCACCCATGGCGGACTACACACAAAGGGATGGAGTCCAAATTCATGATTGAACTTCAGGTCTAGAGTTGGTGAGGGTGAAGGAGTCATGTTATGAAAGAGGCTCAGCCTGTGTACCCAGATGGCTGAGAGAGAGGTTTCACACTTTCCACTAACAATACTCCAGATTCCCCATCCTGCTTTTCGTGTTCCATTGATATTGGATGGGAAACGTGTTTCTAATCAGCCAGTCAAAACAGACCAAATAGATTGTGTTGCCACTCATAACCACAGTGTGCTTGAAATCACGCAGTTATACAGTTGACAAGCAGATGACAGTGACATCAAGGGAGTCTGGGCTGATATCTATTACAGGAACCGCATGTTTAACTTAAGGAATTCTGACATTAGAAAATGTTATTTTTGCATAAAACGAGGTGTAAAGCAAAGACTAATTTTATTGGACTTCCCATTACACATTTTTTAGGCAACATGCCAAGAACCACTGGTTCAAAAGGTGCAAAAGAACATTTTAAAGACATGTTGAATTGTGTTGAGCTGTCTTATGCATTATGTTGCAAGATTTTCAGATTGTTGAGTTATAATTGCATGTTGTAGATTTAGTAAAAATGTGTTGCTGTATGAAAGGACATGCGATGTTTTAATGTTGCTGAGACACACAACAACAAACTGTATATGGATCATCTTACAGGTGTTTTGGGAGTGATCCTGTTAAACAAGTTAAACAACTGCAAACTGCCCTTGGAATTTAAGCCCGGGCCATACACAGTGAGTGTCTATAAGAACTTTTCTTGAATTAAGCTGCTGATTAATTAATTCTGTTGTCACAACAACTGCCTCCTCCATCTTCTTATCTATTCATGTGCTGTTATTAATCTCTGTCTCTCTTATACTTTTTATTGGAGAACACAACAAGGTGGAGATGTGGGTTAAACTGTGTTTAATGATCGAATGATTGTAACCAGAGCAAAGATGAGTGATCTGAGAAGAGTTTATGTGCCTGCGTGTCAAATGCTCTCCTTCCAAGAGTAGTTAAAAGTTGTTTATTTCACTTTAGTCTGAACCACAATAACATTAACTGCACACACACAGCTGAAATGTTTTAAGACTTTCCATCCAGGGTAAGCATAACAAATAGTATACATCTATGATAATGTATACCACATGATCATGTTTGATTCAGTATCCAGATGGAACAAGGTCCAGTTCTGTTATATGAAGATGAGCAAAGCAGATACTATACCACACTACAAGTGTTTCAGTGAGCAAATGTAATTACTCAGATTTTGTCTGCTGTGACATCAGGATCAAGTGTTTTTTTATTTTGTCCAAGGACTTCAGTTACAAAGTGCTAACACACATTGAATCCCTGCAAATGTGCAAACAATTCTCTTAAGTTGTGTTATTTGTGTTATTATGAACAAGAAGCATCCATATCCTTCCTTTTTCTCTGTTCTTCTGCAATGATTATTGCAGATAAAATGTACCACAACCACACAAACCTTTTTTTCTAGGAAAATATTTCCATAAAGAAGAGAAATGTTGCTGTTTGCCTTCCAGCAGAACTGCATAAAGCTGTTTCCTCTAGGGCAGTTAATTCCCCAACTTTACAATGTGGATGTGAAAAACAGTGTATATCCACATGCATGCGTATACTTCAAGGGTGCACGTCCAGTCACTCTTTCATGATGAATCATGTTTGTGTCAGTGCATGCACACATGTTAGCCACGTTGTATTGTAATCATTTGATTACACTGAACATGCAAAAGCCATTTGAGCATCCAAATATGCAGTAAAGTCATACAGAATAACAGTTGTTTTCCGCTTATGTTTTTAGAAGTTAGCATACTAATCGTTTAGAAGAGGCTTCCCTTTTCACTGACTCACTCACTTAACTGTATGGAAATACATAATCCTCGAGCAATTACACCCTTAAAGGCAGCAAATACACCAAACAGATGTCCTTTTCCCTTCTTGTAAGGCATGAGGGCTAATCGGGGGCTGATCTGCAATTATATCTGTCAGCCATTTTTGGGGCTCAGTTTGACTCGCATGTAATTGCACAGGTCATTTCAACAACAGCATGAAATTCCAGCCCCAAAATGGCTTATGGGAGGGAGGAGTTGACAGCTGGAATGGATGTTTGATTTGGGACATGGCTGCCGATGTAGTAATTAGCAGAGACAAGAATTCCTAACCACACTGATGGGGAGAGCGGGGAGATCCGTGATCATGTGTCCTGTTTTCTGCATTTACATGTGTTTTAAGCTCATACTTGGAGGGGAGAAGGATCTGTGCATGTTTTTAGGTTCTAGGGATGGCAATATTGGTCGGCCTGGTCGAACTGTTTGATGGATTGCCAAGAAATTTGGTACAGGCATTCATGGTACCCAGAGGAAGAATCCCAGTGACATTGGTGATCACCTGACTTTACCTCCAGTGCCATCTGTGTGTCAAAGTTTTGACTTTTCACATATTAAAATTATTAGTACACAACAAACTCCTCTCTCCAGCTCTGACGAAATTTCATAGCTACTACAAAGCTTTCAAAGCTTTGTGTACCTACTAGTCATTACAACCCCAAAATATGTGAAATTAGGGCCCAGGTGTAAAAAAATCCTTTAGATTAAAATTTAGAATGGGAAGTTACCAAAAATACAACTGGTTTATAACTTTGAGTCCCTTTGTAATAGACATGAACACTTTCTGGAGGAAATAAAGATAAACATACATTAATGCTTCTTTGTTGCACCAAATCAGTCAAGTGTTGTTATTAACTTGGTTTGAGTTCAAAAGTAAGAGTTTCCCTTGCTGATGATTTTATCATTATTCACAGATTTGGGTGCTGGAAGGAACATTGTATACATGGTAAAAAGCTCCTCCTTGGGGAGCCACAGTGGTGCTTAGAAAGTAATCCACACCATATGTACTCTGGTGCTGCTGGAGCCTCGGGGTGAGAGTGGTGGCGGGAGCTGTGAGAGTGGATGCCGTCTGCTGAGCTGAACTGCTTGAAGTCGGCTCAGAAATGTTAAGATGGGGGTCAATGACTGTTATGATGTTTAAGCAGATAGGCCATTTACTCGATATATAGTTTTGTATTTACTGTGACATTATTGCCCGCTAGGTGGCCATGTGAAACCTAAATGTCATGATTTAATTTGAGGAAGTACAGGTGGAGAACATTACATTCAGTAATTTCTAATGCAGAAACCGGGTTGAAATCTCTGAACCTCCAGATGTGCTGGACTTAAATGCAGCCACTAGTGGACACTGTTTACCACTGTTAATTATCAAGATGTTACACATGTTAGTGACGTTGACAACTGAGACTAATGTTTCCTTATCTATTGTCTAAATATAATGACATAAAGATTTTAAATGAATGCAGAAATGTGAAAGTATTATTCTTATTCAAGGTGGTAATAACATTAAATATAAACTGATCCAGGACAAAACTATTGATGTTAAAAAGACTAAAATCAATTTAATGTGATATATTTAGTATGGCGAAAAAGAACTTGGTTTCCCAAACATCCAACAAATTTAGCAAATTTGAAAAAAAATTTATTTTATTTATTTATTTGCTTGTTTTTGATGGGATTAAAACTAACAAATTATTTCTTTACTTGGACGATGCTAATATGAAAGTGATATTGTGTTTCACTCCTGGTTTGATAAAAGCTTGGTTCCCAGAGGGTTATTTTTTATTAAATTATTATAATTCTTTTTAGATAGATGGGCTGGTTGAATGACAAGATTAGGTGAAAATATATGGTTTTGTTTGGGCTATGCACCTCCCAGTGCAGTGGTTTCTCTTTCTATTTCCCCTCAGTCTCTCTGTTGTGTCCTGTGTGTTTGTCCAGGAGATGGAACCATTGAGTTCCCCATTCTTGCAATACAGTGACCTTCATCTCAGTGACACTGCTCATTATCTTACCAAACCTTCGTGTGTTAGTCTTTGGTCTAATCATCCACAATTGTTACGTTATTGAGTTCCCTGAAAGTATATAGTCCATGCTGCTGATCTAAGTTTTTAAGTAATAATTTTGATTTCTAAAAACAAGCAACTCATTTTGGTTTATCAAGTTGATACATATTTTATTGTCATTAGCTAAAATTCCACCTAAATGTTAAATATTTTTGAATGTGTACACAAAACACAGTACACGTGATCAGTGTTTACCTAGAATGGCACTTTTGTCAGACAGACAAGTACTAGAAACTGCTTTTGGATGTAACATATGGCCCTAAAACATTATATTGAAGCCATTATTGTTGAATTTCTTTCAGGTGGATTACAAGGTCAAGCCTGGTTGAAATGTAAAAAAGGTGCCTGTTTATGTCTATTGCTACACAAGTCACCAAAACACATTCCTTGTATATGTAAAAACTACTTGGCAATATTGTTGTTTCTGATTCTGATTCTGATAACCTTAGCTTCCAGTCACATATTTTAAATCCACAGATTGAATCCTGGTAGAGTGTAAAAGAAAAAAGAATAAGAACAACACAATACAAGTTGCTGTTTGAGTGAATCATTGTATCTCACTTGACCTCTGCACTGGAGTACAGCTTTTGCGATTGGTTGATAAGAGCAGGTGAAGAAATTGGAATAATCAGATCACATTTTGCGTCTGTGACCCAGAGAGTGTATGATTAATATAAGTGGCATGTGTGAATGTGGAGACGGATGGAAGCAAGTAGACTAGAAATTAACAATACTTTGCATCGTGCAGTTAAGACTGATATAATGTTGTATTCGTTCTGAAGGTCTTGGACTATGATTGGTGGTGCAATTTTCTTTTGGTGAACTTTGGTAAACTGACAACACCAGGAAACAGATAAATTTAGAGACTGGTAATGTAGGTGGTGGTTCAGATTTTTTTTAAAAAAGTGCTACATTAAAATGTAATTGTTTACTTATAACACACTATAATGTAGTTTATATAAGTGTTAATTGATGTACAGTAAAACATTTTTATACGACTACATATGTGTTATTATATATCATTCATTACATGTTTTTACAACACCACCGTTGTTGACAAATACATTAATAAACAGTTAAAATATTCTAACAGCTGCTTGCAACTACATTATAGTGTTTTCAATTTATTAATTGTGGGAAGGTTCAATTAAAATGTTACCAATAAACACATAACATAAACATAACCAGTACTGATTACTGAATAAATGAATATCAACCCTGCTGATTTATTGGTCTAACTCTAATAGACTGATAACAAAGATTTAGTTAACTGCTCACTGTGTTTACTAATTGACAATAGCAAGTGTGTGTGTGTGTGTGTGTGTGTATGTGTATGTGTGTGTGTGCATGCGTGCGTGTGTGTGTCTGAATGAGAGGGATATTGTAAAACACTACATGAATGCAACCATTTGCCATTAAATGTCTGTGGTGAGCTGTCATAATCTGATTTGTGTAGATGAAATTATGTCCTGTAAGACATCTGACACAGATATTCACCTCTAATCAGTCTTGGCCTCAGTTAAATAACCTATTCTACCTCCACAATACACGCTGTCAGAGACATTTTGATGAATGGGTGGTACTGCACCGATGGAGTCACTGTAAAAATGACTATAATGAACTGCTCCAGGGGTCTCTGCAGTAGTTAGGGGACTCTCAAGATGTATTTTAAATTTCCACTTAGAAAGACTTTCTGTAGCTGACAGTGTGGGTCAGGGCAAAAACATGAGATCAGAATTACATGAAAGAATTTTCAAATTATTATGTAGAAACTGATGGATTGATTTTACCAACTCGTTGAATAAAGGTAGAATATGCCTGGCTCAGAAAATTAGGTGAAGGTAGATGACCAGCAGAGTGATTATGAAAATGGTCTGCCATACTGCACCATATCCCTATGGTGGACACTCTGGACAACTTTGACTTAGCAAATGTTTCTGTATCAGTGGGTGCCATTGTTTGTTCCCAGTCCTCCCTATCTTTGGTTCTCCTTGAAAAGAAAAATGCCTCTGAAGTGATTTGTCTGAGCTCTCCTGCAAACACTGCTCTATCTCTCTTAAATACACAGGCTCAAGCACATTGTAAGTTTAGACACACTCACAGACCACTCCCCTTCTTCAAACTTTGCTTCATTTTTTTCAGGTTGAGATCACACTGGACACTCAGTTGGCTGAGCAGTTGTAGTCACATATGAATGAGTACATCAGTTAGGGCATTAATTAAAGGATTCATTGTTTTGCCTTCTTTGGTCATTGTTGTACTCACGGACAGTCACACACACACACACACGCACGCACTGTATACTTTTATGGAGTGTCTGTTGCTTGAGCGGCTCCCCTGCGTCTGCGTCAAGACACGCTTTCCATCTGTGTCCAGTGTGCGGATTAGGGGCTTGTTATCCTCTTAGCTCTAAATGGCCCCGCGTTCCTGCACTTCGCTGTCCATCTCATTTGCTGTCTAAGTCGCGGAGCAGACCGTGAAACGAAGGCGAGATTCGTGCGTAAAAAAATTATCGTGCCCACCATTCTGTTTTAGTTTTTGCGCATTACGCGTGAATCGTCGGTGCAACCCTCTCCATCGTCTGTCCGCGTGCCTGTTGGAGCACAGTGGCGTCTGTCCGTCCGTTAAAGTGTCCAACCCACTGATCTTTTGCAGACTGTAATCTTATCAGTGTCAAACCGTCGCTGCCCTTTCCTCTCGGTCAATTTATGCCTGTCTTCGGATGGCGTTTGCTCCAAAATTTGGATAAAGTAGCGATTTTTTTTTATCAAGACTTTTTTTCAGCGAAGGGATTAGTTACATTTACAGTCACAAGTGCGTTTGAATGTGTAATAAAATGAACATTTGACCGTTTTAAACTTTCCACCAGAAGAAGACATGGAATCTACATGTAAAGAAAGGAGTCTTTTATACTTACTTCTCTTTGCAATATGCACAGCCAGTATTTGCTATTGTACAAGAAGATCAAATGTTCGAAGATCTGGTAAGTTCACCCACTGACTTTTCTGCCAGATTTGAGAAGGTGTAATAATAATAATAATACTAATAGTACATAAAACAGTACATTTATATTGAATCATTGTGTATGAGGGCAGCATTGGTGTGGGCTCATCTTTCCATTTGTTTGATTATACCAGTATCACTAAGCCTTCTTTCAGTCTTTGTCATGTTACATTTGAGTTATTGCTTAATATAATATTAAGTGAAGTACTTACTAATTTAAGTTAAGTATAATATTAAGTTAAATAGATCACAATAATCTCAAGTGACACATATAAACTTGTAAAGCCCTCAAGCTCTAGTTTATGGTGAGAAAGACTGGAAAATACAAACAGCTTTAGTTGTTGGATGCTCATTATCACAAAAACACACCATCGTCATCATCATCATCATGTAATTTAAATGATTCCCCTGTTCATATAGCATAAAAGTGTTTATTCTACAACCAAATCTGCCAAGCAACATGTTTCTTAGACTGTTTCACCCACGCCTCTTTAGTCACTGAGCAGCAGCACAAAACTCAATTTTAAGCCTGAACATTAACAAAATCCACAGTAACTGTAAGACTTTTCTGAGGCAGGACTTTCATTTGAATCAAGACTTTCATGGCTAAGGCGGGATAGAACATGGGCATAACTTGGAGAAAAACAGTTTTCTTTTATTAAAAATTGCTTGTGTTGACAAAAACTGTTCATAGACTATTTGATACATTTTACAGAATATGCAAATATGTGTCAAGGAAAAATAGATCGAAAGTAAAGAAGAAAGAAATGGGAAATATTCAGCTTTAGACCAGCAGCACACCCACCAAAACTTGCCAATGTGCTCCTTTGAGCAGAAAATCCCTGGATGCTGATTTCGTCACCTCCACTACTCTCTCTCCCCCGTCTCCATCTTTCTTTGATATTCTGTCACCTTGAACACTTTTTTCCATCCCTGTTTCTTCCATTTTCCTCTTCTTTCTCTCTTTCCATCACTTCCCTTTTCTCTCACTGTCAGTCTCTATATGTCGTGTTTCTCCCTTGCTGACTCGTTGGGACCCACAGGCCATAGCAGGCTGACTATTACAACTGTCTGTCAGCACAGGAAACTCGCCGCAGTTGGGACTGCCACACAGAGGGCGGCTGTAGTTCTGTCTTCAAGACTGCCAGTGACATTTGTATGTGTGGGTTTTTTTTGTTGTTGTTTTGAGGTCTTTCAGGCCTCATTCTGAGGGGAGGGGAGAATGTCAACAGGGCTTGTTGTCCAGATGAATCACATCAGCCTTTACATAACAAAGCTGGTAGTAATAAAGAGTTAAGATTGAATGACGCCTCTCCCTAAGGTGGTCTTACTTTTTTTCAGGGTTTTGACGGCTTTATCCCTGCTTAGAATAAACCACTGAATGATTTATGGACATGTATTTCTTACACTTACTATAATTTATAGCTGAACTTGAAAACATGCATTTTAAATAAGCCTTTCTAACATGTCAGTGCAAACAGTATTGTTTGGTGAAAGACAATGAAAATATAACCACTATGAGAAACAGTTTGGTTTTCCCATTCAAATTCAATGTTTATATGCTATTCCGTAAGCCATACTGAAGAGGAGCACAACAGCAAGTGTCTTTAGTGGTCGTTCACTTTGGGATGACTCAGACCTGGAAAGAGCGGCACTTCTATCATGTGACTGACTTTGAAGGTGAAGATATAAATCAGAATAATGGAGCAGGCGGTTTGTTCTGAAATATGATATCTGAATTTAAAATTGGACAATCGTGAGAACAACAGATGTAATGTGGGCACCTTTTTGACCAGAGTGCTATAAAAGTGTCCGGAGCATTGAAATCTCAACATAAATGAAAAGCCCAGTGCCTAAACATGCTTGAAAGCTCTTGTCAAGGCAGCATAACAGATGAAGAAAGGTCTCTATTTACACGTTTGAAACAGTAAAGTGCAGCAGCACAGTTTGGACTTAAACTAGATATTAGCTTCTTGCAGATGTATTGGTATCAGCCAATGGGTAACAAGAAATTGAAGAGAAAATCCAGGGTCAGGGTCTTACATTAGCGGTGGCAACAGATTGTACAGGAACAGGATACAGAATACAGAATAGTCTTTCTAGCCAAAAATAATCCACCAGTTTCAGGTCTAATGTCCATGTTTTCAGATTCCTGTTGATTTGAGTTTACAGTCTCTCTCCAGTCCCTCGGAGTATTAAACTTTGTATCCAACCTACACGTGCAGCACCGCTGTAAGCTGCTGTATGTTGATGGACATGAAGATAATGATTTAAGAAGCCCCCTCTCTATCTGCTCTAATTCTATGAGTGCAGATCACCAGTACGCTCGCTGGGCCACACCCCTGGGGAGATATGGATGATCAGGGAATTCAGCTGACATATTGAATTAACCGCTTGGATGGAAGAGCAGGGACGTTGGTTTGAGAAAGCAGGGGAGATGCCGACAGGAAAGGATTCAAGAGGACAGGAGAGAGGTTTACACAGGAAGTGGAAGAGGGGAGTCGCAAGAAATAAAGAGGAGAGAAAAAAGAGCAGTGCTGTAACTACATGAGATTTCAATTTACAGAGCTCTATTAACTTCTGTTTGATCCCCATGTCAGTCTATACCAGGGAATTATGTTATTTCGTGACTTAGGCAGCAGTGAAGGTTCAGTTATGGCTAATATAGTGACAAAAAAGGAAATTATTTACATTGACCTTAACTGATATGTAACTGTGCACCGTGCCGACAGTAGGAGGCAATGCACCTTTTCTTAGACCATATAAGAATGCACTCTTAAATCACACATAATAAATTAATTTATAATACATAATGTTTTTGTTTAATTAATTTTTATGGAGTTTTTTGATGGTACTAATCTTCTACTTTGTGTACATGTTACGTGTATGGCTATGAGGCTATAGGGGTCCTTGTCTGCTTATGTTTCTCCATGCAATGCATACTAGGTCATCAGGGGCATTGATGATCTATAGCTCTATGCCTCAATCTCTCTCTTTCATCTATAAGAGGCTTCTGAAGTGTTTTCAGGCCACAGTCGGACAAGGGAAGTGCAATCACAGTGTCTTGAAGTGTCACACAAGCACCCAGGATTGAATAACTCACACCATGAAAATAATTACATGAGAAGTCAGAGTCAGTTGATATTATCAGGCACGCTCATCAAGCTAAAGGTTATATCATTTTAAACGGTCCTTTTTGCACCTTCAAATAGACTAAGCTAAATTACGGTGTAGGTTCTGTTGGGATTATCATTGGCTATTGCAACGACTTGCTTTTGTTCAAAACTCATGGAACTATTGACAAATCATTTATATATAATAGGCAGCCAATTTATTTCACAGAGTGCAACCTCTTTATTCTTCTGAAAATAGCTAAAATTCGTTTTCAATTGATATACTTTTTCTAAAAGTAATTTTCCCAAGGATGACGTTTGAAGTTGTAAAGGTGTGTTCAAAGTATTTTATCTTTATTAAGCTTCCCTTAAGACATTTTATTGCCCGCTGCGTGAGAAACAAGCTGGAAACACAACATTCTCACATTTTCATTGATGAATGTCTGCAAGCCATTTAAACATCCAGCATATACAGAGCAACGTCACCATTCATCTCAAGCTGAGTTTCTGGCCACCTGGTGAATCTAGACTAATATTTACTCTAATTTTTGCCCAGTTTGGGGGTCCACCAACACCTAAGGGAAATTTCTGGCTTCACTGTGCTCCCCAGTTATATTCGCTCTATAACTCTGTCAGTCAGCTGTTTGTTGCTAAAAGTGTGTTTTTCAGAGATTTTTGAAATTATGCTGAAAGAGAGCGCTGACAGTGACAAAAACAGTGGGCTGGAAAACCAAAACAATAAACTGAAAGACTCTAAAACGCTAAAACAGAAGGTGAGAGGAACTGTAGAACTGAGTAATAATTAACTGTGCACATATCACATTTGAGCCACTGTTAATGTAAATACATCAATTACAACAGTAATTAAGTTAAGTTTAATATTTTATGCTGATCTTGGAAGATGCTGAGATGCTACAAAACATCACATGACGTTTTACAGATTGGTCTCAAGCTGCCATGTACAATAAATTTAACATTAATTGCGTCTTGGTTCAGTAATCCATCACAGCTAACAAATCAAATGAACAGTTTGCCCAGTGACTTATGCCCAGTCACGATGATACTTTCCCGCTTGTACATCTTCTGTTTTCCTCACTGTGTCTTTCTGTGTGTTTGTATAAACTAGATCGTCTGAGTCCTCCATTAGACATCCAGCTGGAGACAATCAACTGTACTGCCTTTAGTGTACGATGGAAGATGCCCCGGCGACATGTGAGCACCATCACAGGATACAAGGTAGTCACAAACTGTGATTTTACATGAAATCATTAAACAGATGTGGCAATACTCTATGTATTATTTTCATTTGAGTGTGACTGCTAAATTTTATGGCAGATATTAAACAATTTTTAATGAAATATAGTTATAATGTGTTCCATTTCTTTCAGTTTTTTTTTTTTTTTTTTTTTTTTTTTTACATATTGTTGATATTAGTCTATACATTTATAGATATAGTATATTTTATATCACCAATAATTGTAATCCACTTGTCCTGCTATATTGATCCAGACAAACTGTTCAAAACCAAGAGAAAAAGAAAATATCTAGCCATGTCCCTCTGCAAGCCACTGATGTGGGTGGGCGCCACCATTTTTTCCCTCTTGCTCTTAAAGTGCCTGTCAAATATGTCCAGCAAGATGGCCTTGAGGACTAGATTGATATTTTGAAATTTTGCTGTTTTGATGGAACCCCTTCACTGCCAAATTTATGATTTTCCTCGGGCAATATAGCTCTGGAAGACATGGTCACAAATCTTTATTTAGTTCCTTGTCACTGGAGTTTTTGCGTGGCTCTAGGGAATCTCTGCATCAAAGCGGGAATTGGTTTTCGTGGTTGACCAAAATGGACATAAATATAATGATATGCAATGATAGATTTGTACTGGTATTGTGTATTGTTTTTGCATAAAGTGGACTGAATGCTGAATTGAAAAAGGAGTCTCTCCTTTCCTTTTTCATTCTGACGTGTCCGTCTCTTTTGTTTGTCCTCTTGTATGTTTCATTTAAAAAAATATATTTAGAATGAATAATAATGTCTTAGCAGAACCCAGTTTCCTTCCTTCTTTCCTTTCTTCCTTCCTCTCTTGTGTTTGTTTTGAGTCAACCATTAACAAAGTGTGGATCAGTGTGACTGTGTGTGCTCTGCTTTTGACCATATGTCTGCACTAAGAGGATTAGTCCGCTACCTAGCTTCCCCACGACTCACAGATAAACATGTGCGTTCATTTGGCCAATCACTTTGAAAGTTCATAAATAATCCTGTTTCCTCGTAGTATTTCCTCCTCATTATGCCATGTTGACATTGTCACTGCCATGTCTTGATAATATAAGAGCTGAAAGGTTAAGAAAATGGTGCTTTGATCCAACATAACAAACATCACATTTATGGGAGCCTGTCAAACCCAACACTTCAAAAATATGTTTAGGATATGACAGATTGTCATGTAAAAATGTGTTTGTATGTGTCTTTGTCTTTGACAATCTGTGTATGATTTTCAGGTCTTCTATACAGAGATGAGGAATGGACGCCCAGTGGGTACAGCGTCTTTAATGGAGGTGCCTCTCAGCTTGGACATGCTGACCACTGTGAGTACACTGACTTTTAACCTTTAATCTCTCACTTGGAAATCAGTGGTGAACATGTTTAGAAAGAAATGTCACAATTTCCATAAAAACCACCACCCAAATTTGATCTGCCTCTCCGCTGTTGTATAGCCAACAAAATCTTTGCAGTGCTGCTTTATTAGTACACTGAAAAACAACATGCTTCAAAAGCAGTATTACCCTGATAAGACGTTTATAGATACCTCTGCTCTTATTTTCAAGGGGCAATTTGACGGACAAGCAAGCTTTGTGAGTATCACAGTTACTCTACTTATATTCTGAAATAATTCCCGATCAGTAATTTAGCATTCTCTTCTTCCAACATCTTTCCTTCTTTTTCTTACTGCCCCTTGTATTTTTTATATATTATTTGTCCCCTTTCTCTTCCTCTAGCCATCCACGCTGATGTACTCTTGCTTATTTTTCCATGTCTATCTGTAACTCTACCCTGACTCCCCTATATGCCGCCTTCAAGGATGTGGACATTTTTAACCTAAAGGTGAACACTAAGTACAGAGTCACTGTTGGAGCGTATGGTTGGGCAGGTGAAGGCAGACCAAGCATGCCCAGAGACATCAGCACTGCTTCACATGGTAAGAATACGTGAGTGGTAGGAGCCCATTTTACAGTGGATGCTGTTATTTCTACTGTAGTAGTGTTCTGAAGTCACTAATTTCAATTTCTTCCTGTTCCATTAGAAATGTGCATGCCCCCATCTCCCCCCACTCAGCCGGTTGTCATGGCTGTATCTGACACAGAGCTGGCGTTGTCATGGCAGCAAGGAGAGAGTGAGGGAAGCGCACCTGTCCTTCACTTCTTGGTGGCTTACATCAGGTCAGTCATAATTGATTGATCAGAATGCAATTAATAAAACTTTGTTTATTAAACATTGGCCTTTTCCCAAAACACTGCTACCACGTAGCTTATTTAACAACTCACTTGATGGGTCCATTGGTGCAAGTGTTAGTTGTGGGGCTAAACATTGATCAAACCCAAATTCTACTCAGATAGATTTTGGGAAATACATGTATTCACATTCTTGCTGAGAGTTAGAGAAGAAGATCAGTACCCCTCTCATGTCTGTATGGTAAATATGCAGCTGGAGCCAGCAGCTGGTTAGCTTAAGACTGTTTGTATATTTATATCTGTACAGAAACTGAAACTTAAAAAACAGTTGTGGTTTTAAGAGGAATTATCATGTCTGAAGATTCTCCGAAGTGGGTTAAAATCAAGGGCAACTGGACTTGTTTGAGGTTCTGTGCTGGTGTAACTGGCCCCAAGTTGAACTGCAAGGTCCTGACTCGAACGGGAGGCGAACCACTGCACAACCTCTCTGGCTTCCGTTACACTGGGACTATATTTTGGCCGTGTGCAGTGGCTTCTGAGGGTTTTGCTGTCACTGTGAGGTTTCCAGACAACCAGTGGACACTTCCTTTAAAACCAAAACTAAACAACAAACTAAACAAACTAGATGCAACATGTTAATTTGTGAGCTTTAGAGGTTCTAGTAGGGCTTTTGAACCTTTGAAGTGAGTCAAGCTAGTTGCTTCCCACTGCTTCCAGTCTTTATGCTAAGCTAAAATGATTGACTCCTGGCTTTACCGGCAATGTTGATAAGTAGGTATGAGAGTCATATCGATCTTCTCATCTAACTCTTAGCAAGAAAGCAAATAAAGAGTATTTTCCAAAATGTTGAATTATCTCTTTCAATTTAAACACCTTCTTATATATAAGAATAATATAATAAATATAACTGGGATAAGTAGACACAGAATATAAATTAGGCTTTTTCAACCTTTAAAGTTAAAATAACGGAAGTTTAACAGACTCACATCGTCACAAACCTAATGACTCGACTTGACAAATTCAAAAAAGGACTTGTGTGAGGAAGTTATAGCTTTCCCGACGTTTCTGTGCTTGTCCACAACTTTGATCAACTCAACTTGAGCCTTTTGATTTAAAAATACTTGATACCTTCCAGAGATTAAAAAGTATGTTATTTAAAAAGTGTGCATGCATGAATCACTTCATTTTCCTTTATTTCATCATGAATCACGAATGCTACTCATTCCCAGCAAGTTGACACCAAATTCCCCTGATCCACTTTGTTTGAACCAATCCAACAGCATCCAATAAAGTTGCAGGAGAGAACCATGAAGAATGTTATGTTGCTACACACCACTTGGAAAAAAATTATACCAAAGATCATTTTGTTTGCATATGCGGGGGTCTAATGACATGTTTACAACTTGAAACACAGAGTTTAGTACTTGGGACTTGGGGCTTGTCAGTCTTGACTTGGGACTTGAGTGCAATGTCTTGTGACTTGCAAAACGATGACTTGGTTCCACCTCTGCTATACAGTAATACATAACACACAGATCTCTTTTACAGTGAATTTCATATGGCCTCTACTGGTCTGCTTAATGTAACCATTTGTGTTTGACTCAAGGGTCAGTTGGAACACATGAAAGAATGAATTTCATTCTCTGCTGGGGAGTGTTCAGCCTTACACACACATAAACAGTATATGCACACACACACATATGCCATGTCTCCATGTCCCTAGACGAGTCCTCAGGCTACAGTGTCAAGGAAGTTGAGGTCAGAAATAATTTGCCTGGAGTCCTCTGATGATTTGCCAGACACAAATGAAAAAAAAGCCAGTAATAATTTAAAAATGCCCCTATAATAACTGTTTAAAAGAAAAAAGTTGTAAAGATAGAAAATGAAACAAGCTTAAAAAAACACAGTAGTGTTGCGCTTCATGCAGAGTTAACACCCTGTGACTGAGCAAAGGCAGTGAGACAGAGAGAGAGACAGAGGCAGAGAAACTGTCACTGTGACAGAGTAGACATGAATAAGTGTCTGTTTTTGCAAGCAGGGGCATTTCTTTCCACACAGAAGGGCCATCTCAGAGGCAGATCTTTCTCCCCTTACATCAAAAGAGGCCTTGCTGAAGAGAGACATTGAGTGGTGGTGAAGATGACCCTATTCAACAGATAGTTGTGGCTCCAGGCGCCCAGAATCAGCGCAAAAATATGGCAGCTGGAGATGATAGGCAGGAAAAAGAAAGTTCAGGAGTTCATCATTTAGTTTTTTGCTTCACTGTTTTTACCCAAACCAATGCTCTGATTAAAGCTGAAAATAATACTTAAAGGGCCCTGAAAAATTGGAACATAATGAAAAAAACACCCCATCTCAATCAATTGGTTGTTATATTGTGTTTGAAAGATTATTCTGCATTTTCGTGAATATGAATTCTGTATACAGTCTGTAGTAATCATACTCTTTGTAGTCACTTATAGACTTTGCAGGAACACCAGCAGGAGAATTCCTGCAAAATCATATCATCATCCACAATACACATGTTGTCAGAAAACAAAACCTAAACAAGTTATTTTGTCGTTTCACAGGCCAGAAATGGACACGGAGTGGACGTACATTCGTGAGCCCATTGAGACTAACTCCATGGTTTTGAAGGGGTTATTACCTGAAACAGAGTACCAGTTTGTTGTCAGGGCAGTCAACGTGCATGGAGCTAGCCCACCCAGCCAGATCAACAACCCTGTGCGCACTCTCGGTAAGGCCAAATGTTGATCTCTGAGCCAACGTGCTATGATTTGACAGCCAGGAGAGCTCAATCTCAGCTCCCTCGTTAGTCTGGTTTCAATCACTGTTCAAAACAAAGTCAGTTTCAGTTTAGTTTCAACAATACACCCATATAGAACTAAACAGACGCTGCTTATGCTTAATTTTGCATCACCAAAGTTATCATCACAATAAAACATTTATCATGTCCAACCGCACTGTATAAATCCCAACGTTACTGTGGAGACAGTCACAATTTTCTCCCCGTAGTGTGAAACAAGTTTTAGAAACTGTATCTCGCATCATTTGCAAACAACATGTAAAGACAACCATTAGAACTTCATTCTGCATTACAAAATGTGCTAACTTTATTGTATCTTCACATCTTACCTTTCTGTCTGACCCTAGCCCAACTTTCTAAATGAAAATATGAAGCTGATCATTTTTGGCCTGGAGATAAAGCACAAAAGAGAAAAGATTATAAAAGATGTCACATCTCATGTAATTTCACAATATAATATTCTATATATATAACATTCTTGTCATTTTGAATACACTTTTTCCAAATTTCTGTGTTTTGTTGGTCTTTGGGAGGCTCAGAAAACCTCCTCAAATCATCATGTGAAGAGAGTGTGAACACACAAGTGAAAATGAATAAAATCATTTATTTCAGGTCTGACAGTTTGCCTCTTTCAGCATTTGCTTGAATGTAGGACAACACCTGCCAGTGTGTCAGTTGCTTTTCTGACTGGAGCCCTGGATGATGGAGACAGAGAGCAACAGAGTCATTTACTTTATTATTGTTGATGTAGTCCACTGCTGGTGGTACATGGGGGAGGGGGAGAGTCAGGACTGATTGATATTAAAGCACACACACACACACACACACACACACACACACACACACACACACACACACACACACACACATTCACACAGGTCGTACATACACATACATGCAGCAATGTCTTGATGGATTGAGGACTATGACATTCAAGCAATTTTACCTACAAATTTGTGGGCATAATGTTATTCTCGCGCCTGTGTGTGTGTGATTGTATGTGTGTGAGTGGATGCTTATCAGGCTTTAAGGGTATGATTATATATGACTATTAAAATAAAAGAGCCATGTAGACGCAATCACATTATGACTTTTTTTCTGTGACCTACACACCACGTCGCTGACTCTAGAAAGCTTCTGATTCACACGTTAAGTCAAACTAGCTGTCAAACCGTTGTAAACTGCTCTGACTGAATTAAGTGCCCTAAGTCCTGCTACACTGCTCAGAGACAGAGAGACAGAGCTAGTGAGGTTGACAGGGAGAGAGATAATATTAGGAAGCGGTTAATGAGAATGATGGCAATGAAAGTTACATGAAACCAGATCAAAATGAGTCAGTTCGACAGACACAGACAGACAGACAGACGGACAGAAACGAAGAGACAAAGAAGCGTGATTTCTTAGCAGGGGATAAAAGCCGGTTACGTCCGAGTCTCAGCAGATGGGATTAAGGACGGGATGCCAGACCCCTTTTCTGCCCATCCACACCCCTGGTGGATACACACACACACATGCACACACGCATGCACATAATGCATCGATGCTTGAGTGAACAGTGGGGGTGGGCTTGAATGACTGACTGACATACTGTGACAGTTTTTGTGTCTGTGTGTGTGTCTGTGTGTGTGTGTGTGTGTGTGTGTGTGTGTGTTTAGAGGTTGGAGACTTGGTGTTATGGATTGTTACACAACAGAAGATTAGTTTGCTGAGGGCTTTTTTGCAATCCCCCCTCCCTGTATGCCAGCACTCAGTATTCAGGATTTAGTGCTATTAGGCTGTGCTAATTAGCACTTTAAATCTTGACATCCATTCAGGATTAATAGTTAAGTTTCTATGAGATATTTGATTAAGTAAACAGTTAACGTATATTTCAATTCCCTTGCTTAACTAGCAGCATAGTGAACTTTGTGTATTTGATACTGTGGATGGGGAAGTGGAAGAGCAAGGAGACAAGATGGAGGGCATGTTGTAATGTAAGCTAAGATTAGGCTTCCTCAAGGTAGAGTGGATGGCAAGGGGGTTGTCACATTAAACATACACTGTTTTTCCATATTTTTGTACTTTATTTTGTTGAAATTAATTTTTTAATATTTTACACTCATTTTACACAGCCTTTACACAAATTTGTACAACATACATGAGATTCAAATAGAAGTTATATTCTTTCATCCAACATATATGTACCGAATATAACATTAATGCAAGGTCTTAATAAAGGGGATAACTAGTTAAGATGTCTTTTATTTATCTTACCGAAAACCAGTCAAGTTGTATTCAGCTTTTTATATTGGAACAATTTTTTACTGATTAATTAAGGAGGTCGGTAAAATACATAAGCTGCAATTGCAGTAGCTAACCAAAAAAACATGTTCACTGTATTCACTATCTGGATTTGTCTTTGTACATTACGAGCTGCCGTTCTGTATCGAGGAGACATGTTTCGGTACGTGCTGCAGCAGCCTGCGTACAGGCTAACAGGTAGAACCACTGGGCCAAAAACTGTTACCCTTATTTAATGTCTGTGATCATCAAAGCATCATCAGTGATCATGGTCATTCATCATAGGAACGCGGTCATAACCACAGTACAGCCACATCATCTCTTCATATGAACTGGACAGCATGGTTGTTTGTTGTTGGTGCCATTTTCATTGTCATTGTTATTTTTCTGTAATACTGATGGAAATGTTTGATTTTCAAGAAGAAACTAGTAGTTAATTTGGACTTTACAGTGTATTTGCGGTGCCACCCCCATTGCTTCTTGTTCTCTGATGATCTAACCAGCATTTAGTGTATTTACTAACCACTGACTTGTATTTCATCATTCGACCAATTTTTTTTGACTCTTCATCCATTTCACCACAATCGTCCTGTGTTTTTTTTGTTGTTGTTGTTTTTTGTTTTTTACAACTGACATCAAATAATGAAATCTTTAAAAACATGTAAAAAAAAAAATCTTGTATCGTTTTTGAAATCCCAAACAGGTGCATCAGATGTTGGCAGTGGTGATTATGGGCGTTACATCACAGATTCAAGGCTCAAAGATGAAGATGGCTTCGACATTGATGACTCTGATTATGATATATTCATTGAAGAGGTGGGTTATTACGTATCACAGCTGGGTGGGAAAATATTTTAAGTGTTTTTAACCTTGTAAATGAAATTTAACAACTCAAAACATTAGTGGAAAGGAAATTAAGTTTAACATCCTTACATGTTTATTTCTCTATCATTCTTTTTCTTTAATTTCTGTCCTCTGTCCTTTCACTAGTTGAAGCCACTCCCAGTTACCAATCAGGACAACAAGAAGTCCCAGCTCCGTTCACGCTCTGGTCCGTCGTCTGGTCGGAACGTTTTTTACCGTATGAACACCATCGCTCCCTCCAACATCACTGCCCCTCCTGCTTTCTCCACCACCTCATCCATCTTCCGAGACTTCACAGATCTGGTTTTCTCAACCAGCTCAGAGCCCAGTACCACTACTGACACCACAACTACTGCCCCACTTACCACCACCAGGTAAGATGTGACTTGGTTGACCTTGATGTTGGTTTTACTGAATTAATCCGTTTTAGATGTAACTGCTGTTTATCAGTAACTGGATGAGGTAATGGCCTCTCTTTTAAAGAAAAACTTCAACATTTACAGCTAATTCCTTAAGTTTCTTATTGCTGTTACACTTGATAGATTGCTGTCTCTCCTGGCTTTCTGCTTTCTTCTAAAAGCTACCTACACTTTACCTTTTTCATGCTCTGCCACTTAGTTATTTGATAAAGATGGTGACTGGAGCAGTGAGCTGTCATTCTGTTAGTTGTGATGTACAGCATGTCATTAAGGGCAGCAAACCTTATGACGGTTCTCTTGCATTTAGGTGAACATTATGCTTTTTGCTGTTTGATCTGTTGGATTATTTTCATAAAAATATATCTCCGAGTATCTCTGAGGAAAATGGGCAATTTAGAAATTGAAATGTGCTTCAGTAAAACCTGAGGACAGAGAAGAAAATTGCATTTGAAGGTAAAACATATTTATTAGCTATACCACTGACTATGAGCTGTGAAAACCGTGTTTTCTCAGAAAACGGAACACTAAAGTTTTTTATCTTTCTTCCTCTTCTGATCCACCTTAGAATCACTTTCCCAACCACCACGACCACCCCAACCATGTCCCCCTGGAAAGGTGAGGAACCTCGTGTGTATGACCTGACCTGCGATGATACGGTGTGCCCCCCCGACAGCTTCTGTCTCAGTGATTACGACAGCGGAGGCTCACGCTGCCACTGCAACCTTGGACGAAGAGGGGACACATGCTCTGAGGGTGAGGGGAGTGCCGTTGGGTACAAGCCTTAGTAAAAGAGCTTAGCAGTCAAAAAGTGCTCTGATGAGACAGCTGTCAATTGTGTGGTGTACCACGTCCAACTTTTGTACCAACAAGCATAAATTCATTACATTTTATCCTCTGTTCTTCTTCAGTGGTACCGGTGAACTTTCCCAGGTTCTATGGATACTCTCACATGACCTTTGAACCCTTGAAGAACTCTTACCAGACCTTTCAGATCACTTTGGAGTTCAAGGTAAAGCTCCATCACTTTTTTTTCCACCGCTGTCTTTCAAAAGCGTGAAAAGAGCTTTGAAACAGTTTCTCTGTGGTACAGGCAGACTCTGAGGATGGCTTGTTGCTATACTGTGGAGAGAATGAACACGGCCGTGGAGACTTTACCTCTTTGGCTCTGGTGCGAGGCAAGCTGCACTACAGGTGATGAAAACTGTAACTAACTTCACTCACTGGTTGAGATTCTGACAGGTCTGCCTGGTGGACAAACACAGCATACACAACTTTAAAATTATGTTAACTGCCACACACTGTTGGTTATAAGAAACTTTGATTGTAAAAGATGTGTGTTTTTCAGAAAAAAAAGTTTCATGAATGCCACAAAACAATTATTTTAAAGCATCAAAGAGGAAAACTGACAAACTGCTTGTATAAACCAGTGTATGGGGGATGTAAACAGAACCATGATGGCCGATGTATTTCATTTAGTTTGGAAACATTCATAACTCAGAAATGGATTTTTTTGTTTTTTTTTACAGACATTCATAAAACTGTTCCATTTGATTTCATTGTGTCTTGAATATTTCTCTCAGTGTAAGCACAATATATCTTCAGTGAGGCGTTAGAACAAGCACATAGAGAATTGTTGTTCTGTGAAATAAGGCGGAAAAAGTCAATAAAAAAATATATAGAGAGATATAAATGGGAAATTTGAGTTAAATAGTTAAAAGATGCGTACTATTTGTGCTTATTACAGCACTTTGTGTCACTCAGGTTTAACTGTGGTACAGGAGCAGCTCAAATAGTCAGTGAGAGTCGTATTGTTGTTGGTCAATGGCACACAGTCACCATCTTCAGAGATGGCATGAGCGGCTGGCTGCGTATGGACAACGACACCCCCATATCTGGACGCTCACAGGTAACAGTAACACATACAGGTGATAAGATAATGGCTTAAATATGTAATGTCTTTACATAATATTTTTCCTATCTGATATTAGATAATTTTATTTAAATATGGGTTTCTCTTCTTCTATATGCCAGTGTTTATTTTAATAAAACAGTATGTGAAAGTATTTGCTTTCAGTCCATTCAGTTTGTGGACCAGCCTCAAAGTGTTTTTGCTGTTAAAAAGCACATTTTGTTCTCTTTACTCTTTCAGGGCCAGTACACTAAGATCACTTTCCGCTCCCCGCTGTATGTGGGTGGATCCCCGAGCACTTATTGGCTAGTCAGGGCGACAGGGACAAATCGGGGCTTTTATGGCTGCATTCAAAGTCTGACCATCAACAACAAGGCCGCAGACATCAGACCCTGGCCTTTGGGCAGAGCTCTGAGTGGAGCAGACATAGGTGAGGAGTTTGTGTAATGAATTTGTTTGTCTTTGGCTGCTGCCTGTGGAAGATAATTTGTATCCATGCTACCCATAATGCACTGGATCTCAGGTTGTGGTGCTCAGATAAGTAACAGTTTTAGTTTTGCCTCTGTAAGGAGAAACTACTTATTTTGGACTTACACAAATAATTGTAATAAAGTTAGAAGGCTCCATTTGAATTGGGATGACAACACTTTCTAATTGCCTGGAGCTACTGTCATTTGTGTTTGTTTAAAAAATGATCCTTTGATTAAAGCACCAGGCAGCTTGTAACAAAACAAAAAACATAAGAAAAGATATATATATAACAATTTATGAAATGAATAAATAAAAAGAAAAAAATGCGAGCCACCACTTGAGATCAAAGAAATGTCACAATCAGAAAACAAATGCCTTTTAATAATGGGCTTTTAGGCAATTCATCATTTAAGCAGGAAACAGGCATGTATGGCTAATCATCTCAGAGAATTTTGCAGAACGTTATTTTCTAAATGTGGTAAGAGCTTCAACTATTTGTTGCAAGAAAAAGTAAAAATTGCTTTGAAAGCTGCATAAAATAGCCAAAGCTTTTTAATTTCATGATGTAAACTTTCTGTTATGCTGCAGTAAGATTAATTTCAGTATGTACAAAACAACAATGTTTATTATCTATATACAGTAGATACACATTGTGAGTGTACCCTAATCACCTTATATCTCCTTGCCACTCTGTGCCAGGTGAGTGCAGTGACAGTGTATGTGACCTGGTCAGCTGTGCCAATGATGGAGTCTGCTTTGCAAACCGTGCCGATGGCTACATTTGTCTATGCCCACTCGGCTTCAGGGGAACACTTTGTGAAGAGAGTGAGTCACCTCTATTTTTCTTTTTTTTTCTCACACCCACACACAAAAACACACACACTTGTCTTGTTTACAAGAGGAGTTTTATACCACTCTGAAAGTAGAAAGTCAAAGCCTTTGTGGTTTCTTCTTACTGGCTGTCATAGATTGTCACACAGACCTTTTGAGGTAATTACTGAACATTTGAGTGCAATGCAAAGGAAAATTGGTTGAGATGAGGATTATTATTTCATATTTAGAGGTAGTGGGATTGATTGCATGTTAGACCAGCTTTCATGCAATATAACCTTCCACTTTCATTTCCTCCTCCCAATGTCCTTTCTGTCCATTTCCTTCTTTTTCCTCCTCTTCACTCTCAATCATCTTAATGCTTATGCCTCCTCAAATCCTTCCTTCCTGCTCTATTCTCTTCGACTCTTCAGGTTTCTCACTGGCCTCACCTCTCTTCAATGAGACAGTGTTTTCATACGCAGTCATCCCGTGGCCTCAGTCCTCTCAGAGTTATCTGTCCTTTATGGAGTTTGAGTTGACGTTTCGACCATCGATGCCCCACGGGACGCTGCTGTACAGTGATGACGCAGGCAGCGGAGACTTCCTGGCTATCAACCTGGTGGACAGATATGTGGAGTTCAGATTTGACTGCGGCTCTGGAGGAGCTATAATAAGGTACTAAACATATGCACTCTCATACTTTTGTCCTTCCCTTTCTTATTGCTAATATATTTTTTAACTACATGGCCTATGTTCTATGTGATGACCTGTCTCCAGGAGTGAACAGCAAATCGGCCTGGACACATGGCATGAGTTGAGGGTATCTCGCACAGCAAAGAGTGGTATCCTTCAGGTGGACAGCCAGAGGCCGATGGAAGGAATTGCTGAGGTATTTTGTTTGTGTTGTTAAATGCTGCATGATGTGATTTCTGACTACAGGGGGGCAGGAAAACAAACTCATCCACTCTCTTTGTAATTTCTAGTCTTTGCACACAATTACACTGAACAAAATTATAAACGCAACACTTTTGTTTTTGCCCCCGTTCATCAGGAACTGAATTCAGAGATCTAAGACTTTCTCTATGTACACAAAAGGCCTATTCCTCTCAAATATTGTTCACAAATCTGTCAAAATCTGTGTTAGTGAGCACCTCTCCTTTGCCAAGATAATCCATCCATCTCACAGGTGTGGCATATCATGATGCTGATCAGACAGCATGGGTATTGCACAGGTGTGCCTTAGGCTGGCCACAGTAAAAGGCCACTCGAAAATGTGCAGTTCCATCACACAGCACAATGCCACAGATGTTGCAAGTTTTGAGGGAGCGTGCAATTTGCACGCTGACTGCAGGCATGTCCACCAGAGCTGTTGTCTGTGAATTGAATGTTCATTTCTCTACCATAATCTGTCTCTAGAGGCATTTCAGAGAATTTGACAGTACATCCAACCCGCCTCACAACCGCAGACCAAGTGTAACCACACCAGACCAGGACCTCCACATCCAGCATCTTCACCTCCAAGATCACCTGAAACCAGCCACCCAGACAGCTGTTGCAACAATCGGTTTAAATAACCAAAGAATTTCTGCACAAACTGTCAGGAACCATCTCAGGGAAGCTAATCTGCATGCTCGTCATCCTCATCGAGGTCTCGACCTGACTGCAACTACGCACAGCCACTGAAGAGGAGTGGACCAACATTCCACAGGACATAATCAACAACCTGGTCAACTCTACATGAAGGAGATGTGTTGCACTGTGTGAGGCAAATGATGGTCACACCAGATACTGACTGGTTTCCGGACCCCCCCAATACAGTGAAACTGCACATTTTCGAGTGGACTTTTATTGTGGCCAGTTTAAGGCACACCTGTGCAATACCTATGCTGTCTGATCAGCATCTTGATATGCCACACCTGTGAGGTGGATGGATTGTCTCGGCAAAGGAGAAGTGCTCACTAACACAGATTTTGACAGATTTGTGAACAATATTGGAGAGAAACAGGCCTTTTGTGTACATAGAGAAAGTATTAGATCTTTGAGTTCAGCTCATGGTGAATGGGGGCAAAAACAAAAGTGTTGCGTTTATAATTTTGTTCAGTGTAAGTTCTGCAGGCTATGAAAGTAACATTTGCCCTTTAACATATTCAGCAGAAGCAAAGCAACATGTCCCCTTGGAGTCACCTGGTGAATGTTGGCCCAAATTTTGTCCTCTAGCTCTTGAGAAAAATGTTTCATATACCTCTGCCACTTTAAACTCATGTTACAAAAAAAGGTTTTCACAGTAAATTATCGATTACAAATAAAAGCAAAAGATCAACCTTTAGGGTTTCTTCAAATTCTCTCTTTTACAAAGACAGAATTGATCTTTCTAAATGGCACTTTTGAGTATTTAATATGGAAGATTGCAGGAAGATGACATAATTAACTAATTTCTTTTCTTTTACTCTCCAGGGAGCTTTCACTCAGATCAACTGCAGTTCACCTCTTTATATCGGTGGAGTACCAGAATATGATAAAACCAAGAGGACAGCGGGTGTAATAAAACCTTTCACTGGAATTATTCAGAAGGTATTACTATATTCACACATAGTGCCTAACAAATGCATTTTGATCATTAATATAAAGTCAGTTTCACTTGGCCTGACAGTTGCTTTGACACTTTGTTTAATAAAGATTATTGCTCATTTTAAAATACTTCTTTGTGTTGCGTAATTGTAGGTCAAAAATCACAATGCATATATCATCTTTACAGCAACTAAACTGATATCTGAGTCAAGTGTCTAATTTTCACAGCTTCTATTCCTTCTTATTCCTCTTTGTCTCCGTCTGTTTCTTTTCACCTGCCCAGCTCATACTCAATGACCGCACTATCCCAATAACAAGTGGCTCTGCTGGTGGAGTTAATGTAGCAAATTCAGCACACCCATGTGTGGAAAGTCCCTGCGCCAATGGAGGGACCTGCAGGCCAAAGTGGGATAGTTATGAGTGTGACTGCCCCCTTGGGTATGACGGGAAGCACTGCCAGAAAGGTTGGTTGTGTTCATTTTTATCAATTTCAAAATCTGGCTTATTTTTTTTGGCATAGTAAGGCAAGGCAAGTTTATTTGTATAGCACATTTCAACAACAAGGTAATTCAAAGTGCTTTACATAAAACATAAAAGCAACAGGGAAATATAAAAAAAGTTTAAAAGGAACATAGGGAAATTGAAAAAATACACATTAAAAAATAATAAAAGTTACTGTGCAGTGTAAAATATTTAATTAAAAGCAATGGTAAAAAGTTAAAAACAAAGAAAAAGAAAACAATACAGTAAATGTTACAGTGCAGTGCAGTGTAAGTTATCAATCTAGTAACACATGTTTGGGGCCCTTTTCTGCTTTTCATTTAATCAGTTAACATACTATACATACTGTGAATAGTACAGATATAAAATGGGTGCAGTTCAGCAGTTCAGTGTTTGGTTTGGTGGTTGAGTTCAAACAACTGCCATTTTACAGTGTTGTGCGTTGTGATTAGAGAGCATCATATCAGATGATACTTATCACTGAAAGCAATGTGTGGTTTACAAAATAGAGTTTTGAAGCTGTTGTCATGTGCTTTTATTGGTGCAAATAACAGAGTTTCAGGAGCGGGGCCACACATCAATGACGTCAATCCCGGCATTTCCATAAATACCCACACATCCCATCTTCTCTTCTTAGCTTTTGCTTTGTGCACCCCTCCCGCCCACCCTTTTGTCTGTCTAGTCTCCTCATCTCCTTCTTCCTCTCCACAGGGTTGTGGGGGGGTCCGTCATGCCCGGGTGCTACGGCAAATTTCCCTATCGTAGCTTCCCCATAACATTTTCATATGTCTATTCAGCAACTGCAAGCCTCTTAAATCTTTCTGTTTTGTTAATCAATAAATAATTAAATTTTATGTTGATTGTGGTCCTTGCTAGTGAAAGGACTATGAGTAAATGTAAGTCTGTTTTTGTCATGTCTGTCTTTTGTGGCAATTAACTTTAATTTTTAAAACTTTAATTTTTAATAATTTGTTTACCAATACCAATGTTTTTTCTCAGGGATTTTACTGTTGTCATATAATGTCATATTAAATGATATATTGGACAACCAAATCCCCTAAGCCTATATCTATGCCTTCTCTGTTTTAATGCTTTCACTGAACAGAGTGTGGGAATTACTGTTTGAACAGTAAGTTTTCTTCTATGAATTCAAAAAGCACATGCACATGCACAACATGCCTTTGGCAATACATGTACTTTTTTCCTTTCATTTATTTCTCCTCACTTTTAGTCTTCTAGCTCAGCCTGAGTATTTAGGTACATACTGATGCCGCCACCTTGTGACAATATGAAGTAAATACAATGTTTTCTCTGCCCAGCTGTGACTGAAGCCATCGAGATCCCACAATTCATTGGCCGAAGTTACCTGACATATGACAACAGAGATATCCTGAAAAGGTTGGTTGTGAAACGAGTGCGCAAATTGGACTGTGATGTTGTTTTGATGATGTTTGTTACTATCACAGCAAAAGTCCTTGTTTTAATTGTGCTTGCAATACATGTTCAGCAAGTTAATTTGTAATTTTCTTTTTCAGGGTGTCTGGGTCCAGAACGAACCTTTTCATGCGTTTTAAGAGCACGGCCAAGGATGGCCTGTTGCTATGGCGTGGAGACAGTCCAATGAGACCCAACAGCGACTTCCTGTCTATGGGCCTTCAAAATGATGCACTAATCTTCAGGTATTTATTTATGTAGGACAATATGAAGATAAAGAATAATTTCAAGTCAAGGTACAAGTCCTGCAAGTCCTGCTTGGCACGTGGTTGCTGTTCCCTGTCTTTTTTTAATAGAAGGCTAGGGAGATAGGGTCAGTTTAGTGGAAGAAGAGGAAGAGGATGATGGAGAGGGACACTGATCCCACCAAAGGTAGTGAAAGCTAAGCACCTAGTAGAGGCAGAGCTTTAAAAAGACTGTGACAGGGCCATGAACTGGAAAAGATACAGGATTTCAGTGGGCAGTACCACACAAATGTGAACCCGCTGCAGCCTTTCTAACTACCTCAGCTCCTTGTGTGTGTTTCCATATTGTTGTAGTTATAACCTTGGCAGTGGTGCAGTTAACATTGCTGTCAACGGGACCTTTAGTGATGGGAAGTGGCACAGAGTCAAAGCTGTGAGGTAAGCTCTAAAAAGAATATTTTATTAAAAGTGTGTTGATCACTGTGTTTCGCTTTCATTTAATTTTACAACTCAGACATATATATATATATATATATATATATATATACTGTAAAAATACAGTAAACATGTATATATATATATATATACATGTTTACTGTATTTTTTTTACTCTTTGTACTATATTCCCCTGTGCTGCTGTGCAAACTTGAGTATTCCCTCTCAACAAAGGAACATCTTCTTAAAGCTGCATGAGTTGATTTCTTTGTCCACTTGGGGGCAACAGAACAAAGTTGATATGACGAACAGTTGCCTCTTCACACACCCAGCAGACATGGAACAACAGTAGTGTTTTTTTATAGATGTGAGAACGGTGAGACTGAATCAAAGCAGGGGACTTTAAAACCAAAGCATAGAGCAAAAAGATGCTAAAATGCTCCGTATAGCTGAGGGAAACTGCAGAGCCAGGTGATAATCACCTGTGGTTTCCTGCCTACAAGCAACCCCTAACACATAACACACACATACATACATTACATAACAGAATGTGTATACTGTTTCTCAAGTTTGCTAATACGTTTACCATCACTTATCACTTATCTCTTCAGAGATGGCCAGTCAGGGAAGCTGACAGTGGATGACTATGGCGCAAAAACAGGCAGGTCACCTGGAAAGATGAGACAACTCAATATCAATGGACCCCTATACGTTGGTAGGAAGAGTTCACAGCTCAAAATCCCATAATGTACTGTGTATGTACTGTAGATCAAACAATGATTTAACACCCGCATTTCTATTTTTCTCCCCCTTTTGACTGGTTTTCTCTACATTCTCCCCCTGAAGGCGGCATGAAAGAGATAGCTCTTCACACAAACAGACAGTACATCGGAGGCTTATTGGGCTGTGTGTCACACTTTACACTCTCCACTGATTACCACTTAGCGCTGGTGGAGGATGCTGCTGACGGCAAGAACATCAACACCTGCTCCAACTAGACAATGGCTCCAATACCTGAAGGTCCATTTTCAGCACCATTTTCAACTGGAGTGAACACCTCGGCCAGCTGATTTGCCATCTTGAAACTGACTAACGAGCACCAACTGAAAAACAACTTAAAACAATTCAATTTTAGTCCACCAATCCAGGGCTGACATTGTATAAACTCAACTGACAAAGACTAACAACATTGTTACTGAGTCATAAAAACATTTAAGTGGCTCCTGTGTACAAAGTTATCAAATCAACTCCAGCCTGCCAAGTTGTACGTTTTATTTTAACATTAACAACTTGATGAATTGCTCTGTTTCAACACATGGCAACAGCAAAAATGACCAGAGGATATTACAAAACACAAGTACTCTGGAAAAGGAGAGAGAAAAAGCTTAGCGTTATGGGTAATGAGGGTCTTTGAAAAACGTTTCGGACATTTTTTTCATGGGACGATTCCAATTGTATCGTTTTTTCTACTGTAAATCCTTATTTGATTGCTGGAAGAACCAAGTGATCCGAGGGATCAAGAGTCATCACAAGGGTTTCAGGAACCTGACCTAGAGCAGCTAGCGGAGATAAACTTCTTTGTAGAGGATTTTGGTTTGGGCCCAAGAGGGTTTCTGTTGTTTTTCTTGTGGTGGAATTTCTATTCTTGTTTGTGATGTATTATCAGTCTGTAGACTACATTTCTGACAGCCTGATTGATGTCAATTTTTTCAGGGGTTGCTAGTGTTGAAGAGTGTCAGCTGCACACAATATGTGTTTTTTTATACATTCTTCTTTTAGTTTACATGCTCCTTTTTTTTGGAACTCTCAGATGCTAGTCACATGAAAGTCTGATGTTGATACGGTGAAGCAGACATAACCCTGGAGAAATTGTGTGTGACAGTCTTACTATCATTTGACAGAAACCACTGTGGACTTCATCCCTCTAGTCGACCTGCTTTGTAGCTTTTGTTTTCACACCAGAGAAAATACATTTTCTCTTATTTAAGCATTTGCAGTTGAGTGCAGGTTAATAAAGCCTAAGCTTTACACAAATACAATTCTTTTCCCATGAGAGAGCAACACCTTGGTTTCAAAGTTTGAGCTCAGAACAACTCCAGTAATACATTGTCAGATATTAAATGAGTCTGAATTTGTTTGAGAAGAATGTGAGATAGTCATTGGTTGAATGTGGCATTTTCAACAAGTGTGTCAAGTCTGAACGGCATTTCAAATGAGGTGCATCCCATGAAATACACCATGTGACTGTGGAATGTGAATGAACACGAGTGACGTGATCCACCACTGGGTGATCAGTCGGGTTCCCATCCACTGTACAAAATGCAGCATGTATTGGCTGTGCGCAACATGTTTGGTAAATAGCTGTTATCCATAGACTGTAGGAAAACATTGATGTAGCATCTGTGATGTCAGCATATGTGTCTAAAGATACATTTAAAACTTTAAGTTTAGGTTTATGCTTTCTGCCAACTTTGTAAGTTAGTGAGATAATCCAGGTTTCTCTAAAGGCCTGACCTGGGTGGAACTGAAATGGAACGAGCAAGCAGGAACTACCCCGGCTGAGTGTGCACATCCCAAAACATACTATTACTCAAGCCTTAATATAACCCTTAATATCTTAATAATCCCCTGAAAATTTTAATGAGCAATTTATGACCCTAAAGCAGTGTACATACTAGGTGCCCCCATTTTGTTGTATGATGAAAAGTTGACTGTAGGTAAGTTTGAAAGTATACCTTCCCAGGTATGCAGCCTCTCATGCAAGACGATGAAACAGAAATACATTACGTGAGTTAAATAACATTAGACTTGCCTCCGTTGTCTTTTTTTTTTTAATTAACATGCAAGAAATGTTCACTGTATTTGTAATTGGAACACTGTGGCTGCTGCCTGTCAAAAACTACACTCTGCTAACCAAATAGCCTGCAAATTAAATAAGTTGCTAACCAAGTTTTTGTCATGGTTTGTCATGAGTTGTAGTGCTCTCTACATTTTATTTTTGGGGGAATGGCCCCAGTTCAAACAAACTGAAAATGGCACAGCCTCATAAACCACTGTTGTTGTGCTTGTTATTGTTGTTGTGCAATGTGCTTGTTATTTGATCAGTCACAATCCCCTCACGTCCCTGATCCGTTTCACATCACATCACATCACATCACATTTATATGGTAAAGTCGCACATTTCAAATTGTAGTTGTTACGGAATTGACAAAAGAATGATGGACAAACATTATATTTATTATAGTAAAATTAAACTCAAAACAAAATTCAGAGAGTTCCAATGAAAAAAAATCGTTCCTGTTTCATACTGTCACACTGGAGCGGCAGCATACTCTCACATGCTGCGCTAAGTGAGGGTTGTTTCATACCTAAAGAGGGAAATAGAGGTTACAGAACAGCAAGTTATTATAGCTTGAACAGCTGGAACACTAAAGCTATTTGCAAGGCCTGCATGAAAAAAACAACAACATTTTATAACAAAATAAAAGTCAATTGGTTAGCAACACGGTGAATGATTCTGCCTCACACGCACCATATACAAAGATGAAGTCCTTTCAGCAGCGGCCTGGGTTCGATTCCAGCCAGTGGCCCTTTGCTGCATGTCATCCCCTCTCTCTCTCCCACGTTTCCTGTCTTTCTCTTCACTGTTCTATCTAATAAAGCCCAAAAAAATCAAAATGATTAAGTAAAAATAACAACAGAAAAACAAATCTGCATATCCAATTTACAGTAAAACTGAAAGCTGCAACAAGAAAACAAAGGATTTAGAATAAAGCACTGGTTAACCCTGTTTAGGCTCTGGTAAAAAAAAGATTTGTATATCAAGTCCATGAAAACATGAGAAATAAGGACATTGACAAGACTGTGATTCACAGAGGCAGTCCAAATCTAATCAAGTACCCTTAGTTGCCTATAAATAACCATAGCTTAACCATGGCACATCAGAAAATGGTCAGAGTCATTTTTAGAAATGTTAAATAGGTAATTTATCATTTCTGTTATTATGATAGGTAGAATTGTTAGTGGGCAGCCGCTGTGCAGCAGCCGGGGACCAAGTCCAGATCTTTATCATTGCCCTGTCCATTGCACTGACTGGAAAACTAAGATGTTTTTGATGTTGGGGGAATCCCATGCAGACACAGGGAGAACATGCAAACTCCACACAGAAAGGCTGGGAAGACCAAGGGTTGAACCCGCAACCTTCTTGCTGTGAACCTACAGAGCTATCCACTGGACCACTGTACCACCACCGTTAAAATTCTCCCAGTGATGAAAACTGCTAATAGCTAACTGTTGACCTAAATCACGTTTCAGTATGAGCAACATTGCCATGTCTTGGTTCCTCTTACCACCTCATCTCCACATTGCTGGAGATTAGATGGCCCATTTAATTGAGGACTGAGTGTCACTTGGTGGAATGTTAAAGAGAAATTTTGTTCAGTTTTTCTGCTGACGTTGTTCTGTCCTAAACACATGCAAGAACACATGCACACATGCACGCAAACACAATTGTGTGTTGCTGTGAGCCCAATCTTACCATATAGTATGGCACTCCAGGACATAGTTGAAGGTTTAAGGTAACCTCTGAAGGATTCAATCTAAATCTGCCATATTCAATTCACTTGTGGTAACGATCCAGCGTGATAACTAATGTGATATAAGTTGGTTTTATCTTATCATACGGCACATTCCAATTTATTAATGCTGTTATCAGAACGGTTACCTAACCTGTACCCTAATCCTAATCCATGTTCTCACTCAGAACATTAATATCAACCTGAACACCGTAACAAATCATATTACATACACCAAGAACACTGTAACATCATAAAACAAAAAATGGAAACACATTATGCATTCACTAGACGCATTACACTAGAATGGAAATGCACTTGTACTTTCTACTGGCTCTTATTTTTCTCTACTGAAGTTTTTGGCCAAGTTGGAGAGCCTCAAGCTTTAAATCGAGGTGACAGATTGAAATAACAGGGAAAGTCATTTGACCTTTGTGCACAAATGTGTTTTTTTCAATCTTTGCTCACATAAGCTTTAAGGAACTGTGTTACCAAACAAGGTGATGTTCTGTTGGATTTTCCATGTTCACTTCACTTACAGAACATACTATATTAGGGGAAGACACTATTTAGTCCAGCCAAAAAGGGATTTGTGTTAGTTTAATCGTTTCCACTGATTAAACAGAGGAGGTGAAGGATGTACTAATATGCAAAGAGCAGAGTATCATTCAAGAGCATTTTCCTCCTTAACTTAATCTCAAATTAATTAGTTACCTACTTTGTTTCACTCTGGATTAAAGAAAATATTCCCAAATTGTACTGTACTCACCAAACATGCTAGCCATTTTTAAAATATCACAATATGTTATCCTTCCTAATTCACCGTAGCTGTAAAAACCTTGAGTACAGGATATGGAGCAATATGGACAACAGAAAAATGTTATAAAAGCAATGTGCCACGACAGAGTGCATGGGAAATTAATTAGTGTGCGCTCAATCAATGATTCAGTAATCAGCTGGAAGAAAACATTATCACTCACTAGTCAGTCTGCACAAAAGTAAAATAAAACTCTGGCGTGTCAGCCATATTGCTTCTGAAAGTAATTTCATAAAATGGTTGATCATATATCTCTTGATAAATAATAAGATTACAGCCCATCTTCCCAGATAAATGTAAATTCAAGATGGTGAGAGCCAGAGGGAACATGACATTTCATGACGCTTGGTTCTGTTTAGATTAAAAGCTTCTTCCTCTTTGTGTCAAGTTCACATCAGCTGTTTATTTATGTGTAAAATAAATAATATATAATTTCTGCAGACACCAGAGAAGACGTATGAAATGCTGAACTGAGAGACAGACATTCTATCATATATTTTCTGTGATGCAAGTGCTGCAGTACTTATTATGACATTTAAATGTTTCCAAAAAAAGGGTCAGATATTTTTCTTTTTTCTTGTTTTGTCATTCAACATTCAATTCCTTTTTCTTTTAGAAACAAAAGATTAAACAAGTTTTAAGGACACACAGAGACGCAATCAACTCTTGGTGTGGTCCACAAAGAAATACTCTCACAAATGAAAGACTAATCCTTTAAGCACAAAGATTACACATGTGCATGAATTTAGAGGGATTTTTTCCCCCTGAAAACCTATTCTGATAACTTCTAAATCAGAGTTTCAGATGTTTAAGAAGACCTAAAATTAGATTTTGAGTGTAATTGTTCATGCGCGATGTTGCCATGTTGTCATCTGAAAATCCAGCCCACAGCCACAGGGTGATTTACAGTGGGTACGGAAAGTATTCAGACCCCTTTAAATTTTTCACTCTTTGTTTCATTGCAGCCATTTTCCAAAAATCAAAAAAGTTCATTTTATTTCTCAGTAATGTACACTCAGCACCCCATCTTGACAGAAAAAAACAGAAATGTAGAAATTTTTGCAAATTTATTAAAAAGGAAAAACTGAAATATCACATGGTCATAAGTATTCAGACCCTTTGCCGTGACACTCATATTTAACTCAGGTGCTGTCTATTTCTTCTGATCATCCTTGAGATGGTTCTACACCTTCATTTGAGTCCAGCTGTGTTTGATTATACTGATTGGACTTGATTAGGAAAGCCACACCCTGTCTATATAAGACCTTACAGCTCACAGTGCATGTCAGAGCAAATGAGAATCATGAGGTCAAAGGAACTGCCTGAAGAGCTCAGAGACAGAATTGTGGCAAGGCACAGATCTGGCCAAGGTTACAAAAAGATTTCTGCTGCACTTAAGGTTCCTAAGAGCACAGTGGCCTCCATAATCCTCAAATGGAAGACGTTTGGGACGACCAGAACCCTTCCTAGAGCTGGCCGTCCGGCCAAACTGAGCTATCGGGGGAGAAGAGCCTTGGTGAGAGAGGTAAAGAAGAACCCAAAGGTCACTGTGGCTGAGCTCCAGAGATGCAGTCGGGAGATGGGAGAAAGTTGTAGTAAGTCGACCATCACTGCAGCAATCCACCAGTCGGGGCTTTATGGCAGAGTGGCCCGACGGAAGCCTCTCCTCAGTGCAAGACACATGAAAGCCCGCATGGAGTTTGCTAAAAAACACCTGAAGGACTCCAAGATGGTGATAAATAAGATCCTCTGGTCTGATGAGACCAAGATAGAACTTTTTGGCCTTAATTCTAAGCGGTATGTGTGGAGAAAACCAGGCACTGCTCATCACCTGTCCAATACAGTCTCAACAGTGAAGCATGGTGGTGGCAGCATCATGCTGTGGGGGTGTTTTTCAGCTGCAGGGACAGGACGACTGGTTGCAATCGAGGGAAAGATGAATGCGGCCAAGTACAGGGATATCCTGGACGAAAACCTTTTCCAGAGTGCTCTGGACCTCAGACTGGGCCGAAGGTTTACCTTCCAACAAGACAATGACCCTAAGCACAGCGCTAAAATAACGAAGGAGTGGCTTCACAACAACTCCGTGGCAGTTCTTGAATGGCCCAGCCAGAGCCCTGACTTAAACCCAATTGAGCATCTCTGGAGAGACCTGAAAATGGCTGTCCACCAACGTTTACCATCCAACCTGACAGAACTGGAGAGGATCTGCAAGGAGGAATGGCAGAGGATACCCAAATCCAGATGTGAAAAACTTGTTGCATCTTTCCCAAAACGACTCATGGCTGTATTAGATCAAAAGGGTGCTTCTACTAAATACTGAGCAAAGGGTCTGAATACTTATGACCATGTGATATTTCAGTTTTTCTTTTTAATAAATTTGCAAAAATTTCTACATTTCTGTTTTTTTCTGTCAAGATGGGGTGCTGAGTGTACATTACTGAGAAATAAAATGAAGTTTTTTGATTTTTGGAAAATGGCTGCAATGAAACAAAGAGTGAAAAATTTAAAGGGGTCTGAATACTTTCCGTACCCACTGTATATGTTTTTAGGGAAAA